CACGCGGATGAACACAGAAACTAGCCTCATTATGAAGCCTCTTATTTAATAGATGTCAACTTATCTATAGTCTCTTAAAGGGTCATGAAACCCCCCGTTTCAGCACTGGTTAGTTCTCACCACAGTTTTAAAACAACACGGTCTCACCCCTCATCGTCACGTATCGACGCTTGGTCATTGCCCCCTGGCGTCGACATCCGAGGCAGAAGGTACCCCCTTTGCGTCGCTTTTCAACGTAGAGGGCCGTCCGATACACTTCAATGTAAATCCCTCACCTTCGGATTCTGACGCAGGGGGGTCAACCAACAAGAGATATGGGTGCGCTGGAAAGTTTCGGTTTTCATGGTCATAATCAGGTGTGTGGACTGCACACACTGTAAATGTAGGTGATTCAGTGTGGTTTTGGAATGTTAGAAGTTGCATTTTGGTGCATAAACTCTATCATGAGGTGGATAAACACTACCAAGAGGTGGCTAAACTGTTTCTGAAATTTGAGAGATGGGTGGGCTATAGCTACGTTTACCCACCACTACAACCATCGTCATCGTCATAATGACAAATATCTTGGCTGGATGTGGGCATTATCTTGCGTTAAAAAATACAACAGGTTGTAGGCTGCGGAAACGCATGCGGAAAACTGACCAATGACCAGGTTAGATTGAATTTAGTCTAAATCCCTCAACGTCAGATTTTGACGCGGGGGTTCGATTCGTTCTTTGCAAATTTGTAAGTAGGCCCTAGTCAGTGTATTTAATGACAGTTGAGATTAAAGCCTCGAATATTTGGTCTGACTGTAGGCTGGACATTTAACTATTTGCTTTAGCCAATTATTTCCGTATTAATTAGCAAGCTTTTCAAGAATCCGAAGCATTATTTTTGAAAGTATAACCATCACATAGACCTATCATCACATCATTTAATTACGTTTGTTTGGAAGCACCTTAGCCCACAAGGTCGCTATTATCATGTTAAAATGTTAAAATGATAGATTTTTAATGTTTCGCACATGCGCAGAATGTATCGGGCAGGCGGACGTATTCGCCAGCGATCGATCCCAAGCATCCCCGCTTCCCGCTTCTCAACTCAACTGCAAGGAAGTAAGTATTGCATGCAAACTTGAAATTATGTACACCACTGACCTATCAAAAATGATAGAATTATGTCAAAAGTTTGTTGTTGTATTTGTAGCTGCTGTTTTTTGTGCATTGCTCTAGTTACAAGGGATAGAGAAGTATCATGATGAATGAAATGTGCAGTATGCTAGACCGTAGATTAGCCTAGGTACATCTTGGGAATAGGGTAAGCTAACTTCAAATCCATCTAAACTATACATTTTTAGAAAGCTTATCTCGTCTAGATGTGATTAAACACGAATTGACACATGTCCCACCTTCCTCTAGTCTAAGTCAATGACAGTTCCTGAAATGCATTTCCATTGTATTGAATGTTTTTGAAACACATTGATTTTCAATGTAAGTCCATTCATGGGGCTGTAACAGGTTGTGGGGATATTAAAGGCAGAGTGTTTTATAAAGTGTTTTCAAAAACACTTTATAAAACTGATTCGGGCCGAATCGCAAAACAAACTTGTAGCCAATCAGCAATAAGGGGCGTGTCTACTCGTGATGTGGAGGAGAGCGCGTTCAGTGCATGGGACGGACATTAGCCGAGCCGAGCGACAGAGAGATAGAGATGGCGGATAAAAAACAAAAGAGGAAAACGTCTGCGGAACGATAAGGCAAGAAGTAGGACACGTGTAAATATCGGATCAGCTTTCCAGCGCTGGAGAGAACTCAAGGAGCGAAGGCCTGCGATCGGACGCCGAGGTTGCTTTGTTTCTTCTCAATAGGTGAGTAACACCGTGTCTACAACAACTAAAGTCTGCCTACACTGGACGCGATCAAACGACCGTTGAAACCATTTGAAATTTGTGTCAGCACATCATAAATAGAACCCGGCAGCAGTTTTCTGTCGGGATTTGTTGCGCCGCGCCGCTCACGTCCGTAGACACGGTGTAACATTGGTTTTGCTTTGTTTCACAGAACTAATCGTTGCCTGGGTTGCGTACGTATATGTGGGGCAGAGCTATCAAAATAGGGGCAAGACCCTTTTGGGGTAGAGGCGTGTTTGTTTTGGTGATTTCAAATATCAACATTGGCTACCAGAAATCACTCACTCTGCCTTTAAGGCCTCTAGCTTGCGGTCTATAGTGTTTTCACCAAGTGCAGCAAAACTCTTAGGCTAGTGTGTTCAACACTACAACACTATTCAATACTTCAGTCGAAAGCTGAATAGGTGTCATTTAACAAAACTCTCGGCCAGGAAATTCATTGCTGTGTTTGTTAGGATGGTGTAGAATACGCTGTAGAGCGTGGCTATTTATGGGTGTTTAAAATCACTCAAGACATTGAATTAGTCCAGCTAAAATATAGCCTACCTGCTGATGAAGTTCATCATTGGTAATCCGGTAAGTAGTTTTTTTTTTTTTTTTTTTCATACTGTGAAATTTCCCTGACTGACATCACCTACCCAATTTTTAGATCACCAGTAGACAACTTGAGACTATCAAGCCATCCCAGTGCCTTTAGTATGCCAGGGAGTGTTTCATTCAAGAATGTCATTGTTTGTGTTAGACGGCTATCCACACGTATATTCGATGACTGAAACTGTGGACATAGAGTAGACCTGTGTATTTTTGACAGTAATAAAGACCTTATTGCAGAACAGTCCAAGCCTAATAGTAGGGCAACAGAGAGCCCATTCACAGTTGGGCTGGTCTAAATGAATTTCATTTTGACATTGAATGTGCCTTTAGGCTATTTCTGTATGTGTGTGTTGTGGTTTTATTTGTATGACAACCTGTTTGCCTTTAAAATGTGCTACGTATTAAAATATCGTAATAATCTTTGTGTGTGTGTGTGCGTGTGTTGTACATTGTACATTTCAGAATGACAAAGCGAAAATTCAGGCCTTGCCCTGCCTGGATAATGAGTGGGGGCAGGGGGTCTGGAAAAACCGGAATGCGGCACAAGTGGTTTCTTCTGCCCAAGTTGCAGTAAGTAAAAATACTCATGCTTCATGAATTGGATGGTAGTCAATATGAAACTCAAAGCACATTACATTAACATCAATACTATCCTACTGTCAAACTATCAACATTATAATTTCTAACTGCATAGAACAATCCGGCGTGAATCAACCCATATTTCTGTTGCTTGAGATTCACCGAGTGCTGTCGGTAGGAATAGGAACGAAGAAAATCGACATAGACTGAATTTGCGAAGTGGCAGCTGACCATAACTGAAAGGGGCACAGAAAACTGAAACTTTCCTTGCCCTCATTACTTAGCGTTAGCTGGCATTTTGCTATTCGGTTCTTGTTGTATTAAATTTTCTCGTTCCTCTACCTAACGACAGCACTCACTGATTTCGAGGAATAGGGATATGGGTTGATTTACGCCGGAGTTTTCCTTTAAGGTTGGTCAAAGATTCTGTCATCTTGTGACTGAACGTACAGTTTTATAAAACTATCCTTTCACTGCATCCCACAGACCTCGACTTAACCTAAAGCTGGCACACATACCATAAACGGGACGACATTTGGATGGATGTGAACTGCGTCCAAAATCATTCATGTTCTCTCAATTTGATTATCAGCGCACAGATACATGTAACATAGTCTATCCTATGCAACTGATGAGCTTTCTAATAGTGGTGACCAAAAGTTTTCTTGTAAATAAATGGTTTACAAAAAAACTAAGAATTTGCACTAATGACAGCCTACTTATTTTTTCTTTTTACTTCAACAATTAGTTATTTAATTCCTAGTCAAATTGCACACTGTTATGGACCATTCATAACTCTGTTAAGGAACAAACATCCAAAACTAGAGATAAATACCTCTGTCTTGACACTGGGAGGCTGTGTAGAAATATCTTTATTTTTCAAATGTTATTTTTTTCTGCATTTTTTGCCTTTAATCAGATAGGACAGTTGAGAGTGACAGGAAGTGAGTGGGAGAAAGAGTTGGGGTGCGATCCAGAAATGGCCACTGGTCAGGACTTGAACTCAGGTCACCACGGTACGGTGCTGGTACCCCAGCCAGTTGTATGATGGCCAGGGCCTAGGACTACCTTTCTTAACAGAGCATTCGTAAGAAAAGAGAAAGAGAATGGCATCAATGTTGACAAAATCATATCCAGTTTCTGACTAAATTTCTATTCCCACTCACAATATGGTAAAATGTTAAATGGACTGCATTTATATAGCGTTTTTCCACTCCTCCGAGCACTCAAAACGCTTTACAATCTATGCCTTGCATTCACCCACACACTCATACACCGGTGGCTGCCATGCAAGGTGCCAACCTGCACACCGGGAGCAGTTTGGGGTTCAGTATCTTGCTCAAGGACACTTCGATGGGGGCAGGCGGAGCTGGACTCGAACCTGCAACCCTTCGGTTGCCGAACGGCACCAATAGAGAGAAGCCCCTTTAGCAACTATGGTCCTTGCACAACAAGGGAATCTGACTGTCAATTCTGATTAGGGCCACCTCCAAATCTTGTTCTAAATCAGATATGGCTCTGTTTATTTTGCAACTTGCAATGCAACTTTCATTTTAACAGTCATGTCAGAGCTCATTGCCAGCATGTTGGTGGTTCGTCAGCTTACAACCACTCTTTAATCTACACGTTTTGTTCTATGACAGGGAAGTGGGTCAGCTTAGGAATGTCATCAGATCACATTAACACTTGCGAACCACTCCTCTCAGTGTTTAGAAACTCAGATCCCTAATCAGTAAAGCGTTACCAGTCATTGCCTGACACTATGTGAATATTGATTTCATACAAATGTGATGTCACCTCGACAAAAAGTGATGTTGATGTGAATTGTGTAACCTTGATATTAATGCAATGTGAATTTTCTAAGTACTTTTGTTAATTTCAGGTGCAGAAACTTGAAAAAAAATAGAATTTGTGGATCGCCGATATAAGTGCTGGAATGCCACTGACTGAGGACACACGACCTTTTGTTGACGCCATGAAGAAGGCTTATGAGTATTTACTTAAAAAGCAAGGTTAGGGTTATGCAGAAGTCATTACTTTTTAAATTATATTTTAAAACGTTTTTTCTTTGATGTATACAGATTAAAATTAATGTCAACTTGTTACCTCCTTAACAGGACCCCAGATGTCTCAGCCCCATCCTGACCATCAGATCCAAACCCAGACCCAGCCTGACCAGCAGACCCAGACCCAGACTGAAGCTCAACAGATTGATGATGGTGTCATCCTCAACCTCTACTTTTTGCCCCCTCCACCCCATCCCCAGACTCACCCTGAAGCTCAACAGCTCCAGAATAAGGCTGAAGTCCATACTCAACCCCAGCCCCAGCCTCAGCATGAGCCTATCCTACCAAAGCCTCCCAAAAGAAAACAGGGTAAGGTGAACTTTCTTTGCAGCCATTCTCTATATTTATGCAGAATTCATTATAGTTAAGTTTAGTTAAGTTAATGTTAATTTGGGACCTCCACAACAGAGCCCCAACCCCCAGAGTCTCCGGTCCACCGTCAGGCCCAGATACAGCTCCAGGTCCAGCCCCAGCCACAGCCCCAGCAATTTCAGCCACTGACTGCCAAACCAAACACCAAAAAAAGAAAAAAGGGTCAAGTAAACTTTCTTGCAGCCAAAAAAAGAAAAAAGGGTAAAGTAAACTTTCTTGCAGCCTTATGCAGAATTCATTACGGTTTAAATAAACACTATGTAGTTTTTGATGTAAAACTAGTGGACTAGCTACCTAAAAGGCACACAAAAGCTTCCAAACACTTCCCAGAGCCTTATTGGCACTGCTAGATGATTCCAATTGGTGTTTGATGACATTATAGTCAGCAATGCCATGCTGTAAAGTTTTTTTTTTATATTTTTGTTTCCTACCCTTCACCCAGAAAAAAGGGTAAAGTGAACTTTCTTAACGGCCAATTTATTATTTTTTTATTTTTTTAATTAGACAAATACTGCTGTCCAGATGAATTGGTTCTCTTTGATTTAGATCATTTTGATACAACAGTTAGGTCCAGTCAAATTATCTATTATATTCTGATTGGTCGAGAGATGTTAAGTAATGCTATTTGACTGAAGATGTCCTTGGATTTCCTCACTCTGACTGTTTGCGCTGGTGTAATATATCACTCCGCATTTTGCATTGAATTGAGCTACACCAATGTTCCATTAGTTCGAAGATAATAAATGTATTAACCTCCAGCCTCTTGGCTATGGCCGTACCACAGCTGTGTGGTTATCCAACCAAACTCTCTCTTACTTGTGCTATATTGTTTAAGTATTTTACAATGGCCAGTGTGATACACATCTGCCTTTCGCATATCTGTGAAAAAGAACACACATACACACACACAATATAAGAATCGGACCTGGGTTCCCAGGCGCACTGCACATTGATGGTGTTGGCACTGTAACCTGTTTTAACCCAGCGCAAGTTCCGTGATTAATGTTGATTCCAGATTCTGTGAAACCCTGCCTAGTATATATATTATGGGTTCATATAAATACACAAGGCCTTAGATCAAATGCAATACTTCTATTTATTGATTACCATTTGTTTGTCAACAAAACCTTTTTGCCTTTGTCATTTCAGGGTACTGAAAATGCAGCAGGCAAAAAGTGTGGCAATATGACTCTATCATTGACAAAAGAATGACAGAGGTCAGATGTAGAACCATATTTCTTATTAAAGGTCCCATGACATGCTGCTTTTTAGATGCTTTTATATAGGCCTAAGTGGTCCCTGATTGTGCCTCGCACGGTAGTAGCTCATTTTCTCATGGGCGGGCCAAATTCTCTGGGCGGGCAAAGCAGAGAAAGGGGAGGTAACCTTTCCCCGTATGACGACATAAAGGGAAGATTCCAGATTGGGCCATCTGAGCTTTCATTTTCTCAAAGGCGAAGCAGGATACCCAGGGCTCGGTTTACACCTATCGCCATTTCTAGCCACTGGGGGACCATAGGCAGGCTAGGGGAACTCATATTAATGTTAAAAAACCTCATAAAGTGAAATTTTCATGCCATGGGACCTTTAATGTCTCTGATATCCTCCTCATTGTACAATATTACTTTATACCCTACCTACTAATGTTTAGCCCACGTCACCCGACCAGTGCATATAGCCAAGCGTGAACGTCATTACTGTATGTATGGTTTTGTGAAATGGTAACAGTAACTATACAAATATAATTAAATGTGTTTGCTTGTGTTTCTGTAGGATAAGGCCGAAGTAAAGGTGCGCTGGTTGCCTTGTTCTCAGTGGTAATTACTGGCATACAGTGCGTATCCATTCATAGTTGACTATAATGTTTCCTATCAGCCCTTTGATTTTTTTTGGTATAGTGTTGTTTTAGGATGATAGAGTAGTATGTACACACATTGCCCGCAAACAGTGGCTGCAAACATGTTCAGGCTGCACTGAAAGTGCATGCGTGATCTTGCATTCACAGCATACTTGCTTTGACTATAAATCGGCCCTTAATGTTGACTGTATATTTGAAGTCCATGTAAAGAAATTGCAAAGGGAATTACCAATAAAGAGAAATTAGAAACACAGATTTGTGAAAATGTACAGTATAAGCTGTGAATGTTGTAGACATTGTGTACACAAATAGACTTATTCTCCTGATCTAATGTGAGATGTGCAATACTTAATTACAGTGGCAGAGGATCTAGATTTGCTGCGCAATGCAGTGAATTACAACAAGGATTTACAGACCAATAATCCTGCAGAAACTGTCCTTAAACGAAGATGTGTCCTAGACGAGCTTGCATTCTTTAGTGTTGTTCAGAATGTCACGCCAGATATCTTGCAGGATATTTTAGAGGGTGTTGGCCCACTAGAGGTGAAACTAGTGCTGTCAAAATTTATAGCTGAAGGCCACATTTCCCTTGATACTCGATAGGCTCACAAGCTTTGATTATGGTTTTGTTGATAGGTGCAATAAACCATCAGTTCTGTTAAGCCAAGAACTTAAAAACACCAGCACCACCACGCGTCAGACTGCAGCACAAATGTGGTGCCTATTATGATTCCTTCCTCTTATGATAGGTGACTTAATACCACATGACAACAAGCACTGGGAACTGCTGCTTCTGCTGTTGTCCCTGACTCCAGAGGCCACAATATACCTCAGATGTCTTATTCAAGACCATCATACACTCTTCCAAGAGTTGTTTCCTCATTTGCATTTCAAGCCGAAACACCATTTTATGGTTCATTATCCATCTACGTTCAGAAAGATAGGCCCCCTAGTAAACTTTTGGGCAATGAGATTTGAAGCTAAACATAGCTTTTTAAAAAGACTAAGCCATGTCACATGTAATTTCAAAAATGTCACAAAGACTATGGCATACAAGCACCAAATGATGTTGTGCTTTCAGCTGTTGACAGGCAGGTTGTTCAAAAAGGAAACTGAGATTGGTCCAGGTCAAAACTCTGTTCTTCAGTCAGTCGAGGATGTCCAAGATGTTACTGGTGGCTTGGAAGATTTTCCCCGTTCCAGTGATGTTTATATCCCAGCATGGGTCAAGGTTAATGGCACAGTATACAGACCAGGGATCACTGTTTTCATGACCTGCACTACAGATGGAGTTTAGGGATTAAAAAAATACAAAAATCGAAACAGGGTCCAATTTCGGTTGTGCGCTGTCCTTTAACTCCTTCTGGCCACTCCCTAGCTCCGTCCGGGTCTGGCCCCACGACCAGAACCCGCCATCCACTCGTGTTTCTTGACTTTTAATGAATTTAATTATCTCCATTTTTCTCTCTTATTTCTTTCTCTATTTTAAGGTTATGTGAATCATATTTTTTTTATTTATTTATGTTAATATTAATATATTGTATCTTGAATCGATTTCTAAAGTGTGTTTATGAGGTGTGTTTATAAATGTATCTTGCTGCTAGGGGTCTTTCTATGAGGGGTATCTTTCTGAGGGGTAGATTTTAAGTGTGCTCTACAATTAACCATTTATTTTTGAGTAAAGAATTGTATTATTTTAATATTGTTTTAGGGGTCTTTTTTATGGGGTTACTAATGGGTAGGTTTAGTGTTAGTGTTGTAATCACTTTTTGTATTATTTTTTCCAAGGGGTAAACCCTCTGGGGTTAGAATGGGTAGGTTTAGGTTAGGGATAGAATGAGTAGGTCTAGGTTCTCCGGGGTTAGAATGGGTAGGTTTAGTGTAAGTGTTGTGATATCTGTTTATAGTAATAGGGGATGAAAAACCAAAGCCTGGGCCCCAAAGAGTCCAGGCCGGGTTTTGCGCTGTCCTTCTCCCCACCGGCCGCTTCAGGTAGGTCCAGAGCCCAGAGAAAGGACCCGACGTGGAACTGAGTCATCGTGTTGGGATACAAATGTAAGAACTGAATTGAAATGTTTATGAGGGGTAAATTTAGGAGGGTTAATTTAAAGAGGGTTAAAAGGATGAGGGGTAAGTTCTGGGTGTTGTAGGAGTAGACTATAGCTGGTTTATAATTGTGAGGGGTAGGTTTTGGATTGATAGAGGTGAGTGGTTAGGTTTAGGGTAAGTTGTAGTGCAGTTCATTCCTGTAGAAAAAAGCAAAGTGGATAAACACAAAAATGATAGTCTAGGGGACCAAAGGTCAGAGGTCAACCCTGGAAAAACTAAAATATAATGAAGAGAAGGAGGAGCCGGGGACCAAAAAGAGGTCAAACCACAAAGTACTCATAAAGACAGGAGCCTGCACTTGCAACTTACATCTCATTAAGGCCTCTTGGAAAAATTGTGTCAAGACGTTTCATCTATATCTTTTCCGCCCTAAGACGGTCACTCAACGACCAAAAAGGACATGTCTGAAAGGCCGAAAAATCGCAAAGAGGCCAGTCCATGGGACAGAAAGTGTTGCACCAAATATCTGCGTTTTTCTTTTTTATGTGTGATGTTGTATGTGTGTTGATATATGCGATTGTTCAATTGGTTCTTCGTCTGTCCCACATACTGTCTCCTACATCTGACACAAAATGTAATGTATATACGATTCGACACTCGGGCATTTAAAATCTGAGGTAAATGAAAAATCCGACCCGTGGACCTGTTTTTGATGAACCTTTGAGGGGGCAAAGTATTTAATAGAACCACTTTTACTCTTGCTCTGTGCTGTCGGTAATTTGCTACGTACTAAGAAATCTTTAAGGTTCTTATTCCTCCTAAATGCCGCTATAGGCTTGTGTTTTTGTAAGTAATTTGACACTCAAGAAAGTTTCAAAATTGGTCTTAACCGCTAAGTTCAGTTGTATGCTCTGGTCCAAAAAATGTGATACCAGAGGGATTATTTTCTCTTTCGGTTCTGTTTCTCCGCATCTCGGCCGCCTGGGTTGGCGAAAGGTCTTAAGGATCTTTCGAAGAAAAGTTCTAGAATAGTCATGATGGCGTAATGAATAGAAGAGAGTTTTTGTAGCAGGTAAAAAGGAAGAAGATTCTGAACAAATACGGTGAAATCTTAAAAGTTGAGATTTCACAATACCTCGAAATGTGTGATTCGGGTGAAAACTTTTTTTATGGAGAAGAGAATGAGTATCAGTGTCTTTAAAGTAAACATGGAAGTCCAAGCAGCCAGTTTCTGAGAATTTAGGACCTTTAAATGTGGTTACGTCTAAGAAATTGACCTCTTTTGGGTCGAGCGTATTGTGGCAATGCGGAAAATCCGTGCCACCGAAATCATTTTACTTTCACTAAAAAATATTGTAACAGGTGGTTTTTGTTTTTTGCTATCCTGGGTTAATTTAAATTTTGTCAGAATTAATCCTGACTGGCGCCCGAACATTTCCTTTAATAGAGCTTATCTATGCTAGGGCGGCCACCACCGTTACAGAGTGGCACCCGAACAGGGACTTGAACTTGAACATTTATCACTTGAACACCTAAACACTTGAACCTTTATCACCTGAACATTTAACTTGAACATGAATTGTTTGTGATGGGGAATTATTGAAACCTTATGGTTAATTGTTATCTTTTGTGAACCTTAGAAGAAAATGTTGTATTTTTTGTGCATTTGTTGACTGAAGTGTATCAGCTGGAAAAGGTACCAAGATAATTGGGTAACTGAAGTGAAGTCTAATTACTGAGTACTTGATGTTGCATTTTGAATGTGCCGTGTGAAAAAAACAAAAAACAATTGTACTCTGTTTGTTGTTTATATCCCCCGGTGCCCCAAAAACAGACAGTCATTTCCAAGTCACCATCTCATTTACTGATTATTCACACAACATTGACAAACAACACCATACAAACAACACCATACAAACATGGCCACTATCCCTCCTTCACCTTCAACATCTGTGGAAATTGAACCCCCCCCAGACATAACAACTCCAGTCTGGCCACCTGTGCAACCAAGACCCGTTCCTCCATCTCAGTTTCCCACCTTTCACTTCACCCCAACTCAGTTCAGCAGTCCCCATCCCAGGTCTCAGGTGCACTTTGCCTTCACCCCTCAAGGTGGCACTGCTTCATTTCAGCCAGAGCCTATGCAACTTTGCACATCCACATCCACTGAAACTACACCATCTTCCTCAGTGTCACAGCATCGCCTGCCTGGTTACCTCCCAACTCCTGGAAAAGAAATTCACCATTTGACTGCGCAAGTTCAAGGTAACTGGGACAACCTGTTTGACTTCATGAAACATCAGGAGAAAGCTGTGAATGAACTCACCCAGGAGCAAAAAACAGCCACTTCCCATCATGAAAAACAACTTGGAGACCTGACTGCGAAAATGGAGGCTAACCAGCAACACATTCTCACCACGTTAACTGCAACACAAGAGGATTCTGCACATTCAGATCAATTAGTCAAAGCCATGAAAGTGATGATCTCACAAGAGCTACACAAAATGGAGTCTACCTTAATTTCTGAAGTCCGTTTCATGGTGGATCAACTTCAGGTCGAACTTCAGGGAGACATCAGAGCTACACTAAAGAACCTTCAAAAGGATCATGAGCAGCTCTCCACTGAATGTAATCAGTGCATCGCTCAGATTGACAAGCTAACAACACAAAGTATCAGTGTCTTTAAAGTAAACATGGAAGTCCAAGCAGCCAGTTTCTGAGAATTTAGGACCTTTAAATGTGGTTACGTCTAAGAAATTGACCTCTTTTGGGTCGAGCGTATTGTGGCAATGCGGAAAATCCGTGCCACCGAAATCATTTTACTTTCACTTTGCGTGATTTGGGGTGGAGTGTTTCAATTAACAGCGGAAGGAAGGAGGATATAAGGAAGCACGTCGTACCTGAGAAAAATTGC